AGCTTTCATATAGAAAAACAAATGTTAATATTTGGAGCACTCTATCTTGATAGAGTTTGTATGTCACAAGGTATAGGAGCTCAGGGAAAAAAGGGGGTGGCAATTTCATTGAGTCCAAGTCAGAAAAATGGAACAAGAATTTGAATACATTATTTGCAGACTTGTAGCCAGAAAAGAATTCAGGATTCAGTCTCAATCATATGATCTCTAAAGTTAGTAGAAAGCCACTTTTGAGAAGAATTAAAGTAAAATAATAATTATCTGTGGATGACAAAAAGTCTTAGAATACCGGTGGTTAAAGAAACAATTGACATGGCCGGGCGGTGGCTCACGCCTGTAATCCTAGCTCTCTGGGAGGCCGAGGCGGGAGGATTGCTCAAGGTCAGGAGTTCAAAACCAGCCTGAGCAAGAGTGAGACCTCGTCTCTACTATAAACAGAAAGAAATTAATTGGCCAACTAATATATATAGAAAAAATTAGCCGGGCATGGTGGTGCATGCCTGTAGTCCCAGCTACTCGGGAGGCTGAGGCAGCAGAATCGCTTGAGCCCAGGAGTTTGAGGTTGCTGTGAGCTAGGCTGACACCATGGCACTCACTCTAGCCTGGGTAACAAAGTGAGACTCTGTCTCAAAAAAAAAAAAAAAAAAAGAAACAATTGACAAAGAAAATTTGGTTATTTCTGTGGCATATAATAATTTAACATAATAACCATAATTATTATTGATAACATATGTTAAAGCATATCAGAATTTTAGGAATCTCAATATTAATAACATATTTATATAAGTGTAACCTAAAGAAAGTTAAACACCATTTAATATTTGGCAATGCTTCCTGTATAGTTGTAACATACTGAATAAGTCAAATGTGTTTCTCTGAGGTTTTCATTGGCTCTAATATTTAGAAAGCTAGTTTGAATCCAAAAAGACAATTTAAAAATTTTGATTTTGGAAAGTTTGTCAAATATCAAAGGTTTAAAACACTTTTGTCATAAAACAGAATTATAGGTTACTATAAAACAGTCATTTAGCCTGAGTGATAATTTAAAAGATTTTAAAAAGCAAAATTTTAATTTTTTTAAAAAAAAACCCTTGTATCCAAGTTTTTCATATTTTATATATAGAATTATTTCTCTTATATCTAGTAGTTTCAATTACATATATTAATTATAATGTTAACTCTTAGTAACCCTTATTTTTGATGAAAAATCTAGGATGTTAAAGTAATTTTGAGCTGTAATGAGTTCCCAATTTTTGTGGGCATACCTAAATATTTTTAGTTTTTTATATCATATAAAAATAAGATGTCAAAGTATACAAATTCAAACCTATGTCCAATAATTGTTTTAATATTCTAACCTACTTATAAAAAGCTCAGATGTTTTATTATCTTCTTTTATGTGACCTTAAGATTTTAAATTTTAGTTGGGTAGAAAAATAATTGTTTAGGAGCAGAGATGGAAGGAGAGGTAAGAAAGAAGAGTCAACTCTAAATATTTTGAATGTGCCCTCTTTTTTTTTTGAGTCTCTTTTAACTTTAAATCACCCTCTTTAAGGGAGGCTAGAGAGAGTTTTGATCCCATTTGGAAAACTTGGAACATCAATTATAGCATTGTCTTCATTGTTTTGGAAGATTTCACAGCCTCTTTGTTTTAATTGAGTGCACAGATAACCTAGAGATCTCCTAAGATTTTATTGTGGCCCACAAAGCTTTAAATCATTTAGGTTAGATTTCGAACATTTACAAGAATTTTTTATAGTTTTTTAAGCATGTTAGTTACTAGTGTCTCTAGTGGTCAGGGAGCAGAGACCATTTTCTTGGAGCTAAAGTTTTTATAGCTGCATTTAGCTTTATGAGAGTGTTTTCACAAACCCTTATGGACCAGCTACATCCAACCAGGTCCCCCCACCAAACCCGGGACCTACAAAAACATTTTCCCCAGGAGCCAGAATGGAGAGAACAGGGAAACTGGGGTAATCATCCCCCAAAACCTGGGGCCAACAAAGACATTTCCTTTGGGGTTGGGAATGGAGGCAGCTGGAACTAGGGAGAAATAAAGGGAATGGGTGCAGAGAAATAAAGTCTCTGAGATCTTTATCTTAAAAGCGGAAGATCTTGCATCCAGGGGAGTTTACCTGAGTTTCTCCCAGTGAGGTCAGGGAGACAACCGAGCTATCAATGGGCTTGTGCAGATGTCAGTGTGTTGCCCTATGATCAGACTGGGAGTCTCCCTGGGTCCCTTAGCAGTTGCCATTTATTAACCAAATAATAATAATAATAATGAGGTTTACTTTGGAAAAAAGAGAGCTTTATTTTTCATAAAGGCTAGCAATCTGCTGGGCTGCCATTCCAACAGGTTGAGCAACAGAGCCCAGCCAGTGGCCAGGTACGCATGCTTCAAAGAAAAGAGAAAAAGGAACAGGGTTTTGTACTGAGCAGGGTGGTCAAACATACATATTCAACGAGCTATAGGATGATTCATGAATATTTACAAAGGGAAATCATACACATATAATTGTGCTTTATCTCTCCCATCCTGTCGTGGCTGGGAACTCAGTTTAAAGGTGTTTCCGGGGTCCCCTTGGCCAAGAGGGGTCTATTCGGTTAGCAGAGGGTTTAGGATTTTGCTTTTAGTTCAACCACTGACTGAATGGCTGCTCACAAAGAGCTCAGGTCTTTGTGGAAAGGCATCCTGGATTATGGTCCTGAGCTAGTGCTAGACTATAGCCAAGACCAATGTCTCCAAGATCTGCCTATGTGTTTCTTCTTCTGGACGTGTTTATTTGGGCACATTTATGGAAACACAGTGTTCCTATTGCTGGAGAAGACTAGGCATGCTGAGACTTGTCTTTTATCCCATCCAAATTGATGCCATGAAACCGTGGTCATCTCCCTCTGTGGTCTGTGGATCTGCTACCCCTTAGTCCCCACCATGGGACCACTTGAGTCTTCTGTGTTTGATTTGCTTTGGCTCTATTCTCTTTAGTTGAAATCAACTGAATATCTGACTTTTTTTTTTTTTCTTTTACCACTTCGGGTGGGTCAGTAAGTATTCTGCTTAGAAATTCTCATAGAATGCTTCTGTTCCCTAGAAAAAGTAGCTTTTCTATGTCATCCTTTTCCTCCATCCCCGTTATTGCCTATTAAAATCTTGCCCATCCTTCAAGAACCTGATTAGATGCTTATTTCTCCAGGAAGCCTTTGCTAATCCCCCTAGCTTAAAGGGATTTCTTCTCTTTGTTGATTATTAACACCAAATTCCCTTGGTGTTACCTGGAGGGAACTTCTAAGTAAATCAACTTTTTATTCCAGTTTTATTAAACAGTTTTATATTTATAAAATCATCGTGAAGATAGTATGTAGAATTCTTGTATATACCACACCCAGTTTCCCCTATCATTAGCATCTTATGTTGGTCTAGTACATTTGTCAAAATGAATGAACGGATATTGACACATTAACTGAAGTCCGTCCTTTATTCTGATTTCCTCAATTTTCCTCTAATGTCCTTTTTCTGTTCTAAGATCCTATCCAGGATGTAACATTACATTTAGTCATTGCGTCTCCTTAGCTGTGATAGTTTCTCACACTTTCTCATTTTTGATGACCTTGATAGTTTTAAGGATTACTCGTCTCAGGAATTTTGTAGAGTTGTCCTCAATTGGTATTTGTCTGATGATTTTCTCATGAGTAGACTGGAGCAACAAGTTTTGGGGAGGAAGACCACAGAGGTAAATTGCCATTCTCCTTACATCATATCGAGGACACATGCTATCAATACAACTTATCAACATTGGTGTTGACCTTGATCACCTGACTTGAGGAAATGTTTGTCAGATTTTGCCACTGAAAAGTGACATTTTTTTCTTTCTCCATTTCCATATTATACTCTTTGGGAGAAAGTTATGTACAGCTTACACTTAAGGAATTGGGGGGGAAGGCGGTAGTAATGCTTCATCTCCTTAAGCAGGTCATCTACATAAATTATTTGGAATTCTTTTGCTTGGGAAACACGTCTGTTCTCCCCATTCATTTATGCAATCATTTACTTACATATATGTAATTTACATCAGCATGGACTCATGGATATTTATTTTTATACTTTGAGTTATAATCCAATACTATATTATTTTCTTGCTCAAATTGTTCCAGCTTTGGTTATTGGGAGCTCTTTCAGTTGTCTCCTGTGTCCCTTTTACATACACCCATCATATTTTTGTGTTTATACTTTCTTAATTTCTGGCACTACATGATACTCCAGGCTCATGTTGTATATTTCCTGTCCCAGACCTAGAATCAGCCATTTTTCTAATGAACTCTTGTTCCAAGGTCTGGACATTAGGTTTGCTCTTTACTCCTGGGGTGTCATTGCTTCTAGGCCCCTTAGCTGATAAAATATATGTGTGTACACTCACCCATGTATATATGCATATCTATAGATATTTCTATATGTCACTATCTGTATCTTTATTAAGCTAAACATGAGTCTGCTGTCTCCAAATGCAATCTATTATCACATAGATCATTCTGGGGAAATGTAAAAATACAGAATCTCAAGTACTACTTCAGAGACAATGAATCAGGATAAACATTGAACTTATATATTTTAAAAGGCAAACACATTAAAATTATTGGATGCTTCTCTTGGTTGAATACTGGAATCAGTATCAAAATGATGAAAATATCAATTGACATAATAAACATAAGTTTTACTTTACCACTGTTCACCATTTGGGTATTTATCTTAGCAAAATTTTGTCATCTGACTATAGTTTTGTTAATTTTAATTCCATAAGTGTATGATCTAATAGAGTTTGAAAATTCTTATATTAGGAGATTGTTGAATGTACCATTCAACTCCCAAAGTACCCCAAATATAGAGATAAACACCACAAGAACACAAAATTAACTATGAAAATTGTGTTCATCAATGTTGGTGGTATCTGCCTCACTCATGTCTTCTTCTCTTTCTGTTTTCCTGAATGGTTTGTGGGCTGCAGGCTCCAGTTCCGACACCACCTTCTGCGATGATCCTGGTTCCCAGAATGCTGTTGGTGCTGCTCCTGCTGCTGCCTATCTTGAGTTCTGCAAAAGCTCAGGTTAATCCAGGTAAGGCCGCCCTTACTCAACGCCATCCTAGAAGACCAGCTGAATGTGTTTACACCCATCAATGTTCACCTTGGGAAAAGCCCTGACAAAAGGGCCCAAAAGCTCTTTAAAGAAAACAACAACAACAACAACAACAACAAAAACCCAACAAAACTGCATGGTGAAACATGGGCAAACCAAGAACAGAAACTAATATACATTATATATATATATATATATTTTATATAACATGTTGAATATTGTGAAACATTTTCTGATACTGAGTAGGTGGAGTAAGAGGGCATTTTTTTTAAAAAATGGGAGGTGGAAGAAACAACCATTTGCTACTGCATCTTTTGGGAAAAATAGGAGAGAATTTTTAGGTACTTTAGAGAACTTTTGCAGGTTGATTTACCAGTTGTTTCTGGCTGGCTTAGACCTGGATTTTACTTGATGTCCTTTTACTTGATGCTTTTGGGACAAATGTCCTGTGGACCTCAGGCAGGTTCTCTTTCCAACAGGGTGTGGCCATGCTCAAAACAGATGCATTAGGGGAATCTTTTAAGCAAAAAAAAAATATTTTTTTTGTATTACATGTATTTTTAAACTTTAAATTGAAGCATGAAATTTTGTCATTTATCTATTATATAGTAATGCTTCTTAACATCCTATCTAAAGCTCAGTGCCTTAAGACAAGCATTTATTTGTTCATGGCCAGGCTTGGTTGAACTATTCTCTGGTTTGTCTTGATTCACTTGTGTATCTGGGAGTCAGCTGACTATTGGTTCATCTAGGATGGCCCCGTCTCTGATAACCGAGACAATGTGGTTGTGCTCTGTTTCATCCTCCAGCAGACTAGGATGGGTAGGTTCTCATGGAAATTTCACAGGAGCAGAGCGGATGTGGGAACATTCAAGCATTTTTCAAGCCACTGTTGGAATCATGTTTGCTAGGTCTCATTGGCTAAAGAAAGTCACGTTGCCAACCCCAGCGTCAGAGTGGGAAAACACAGAAAAATTCCATGGTAAACTCTGGATACGGGAATGGGTGAAGAACTAGAGTTTTTTTTTTTTTTTTTTCATTCTGCCACAAATGTGAATACAGAAAAGTATACATAGGTTGAGTGTTCAATTTGATGGATTTTACAAACTGAATACATCCGTGTAAACAGTACCCAGATTGAGAAACAGAACTGTACGGGCCCTTCAGAAGCTTTCTTCTTGCTCTTCCCAGTTACTTCTCCTCAGCCACACTCCAAAGGTAACCATTACCCTGCTTTCAACAACATAGACTAGTTTTGCCTGTTTTTGTACTTTACGTAATTAGAATCATATGGTGCATCAATACTCTGTGTCTGGCTTCTTTAACTCAACATTTCGTTTATGATATTCCTCCTATTGCTGCATGCAATTGTCAACTGTCTGTTCTTATTGTTGTGTAGTATTTTTTTTGAATCTTTGTTTGAATCTTTTATTTAGCCAGTCTACTATAGAGGGGCATTTGGATGGTTTCCAGTTTGGGCCTATTATGAACAAAGCTCTTATAGTCATTCTTGCATAGAACTTTTGGTAGAGATACATACTCAGTTCTCTTGGGTATATGCCTAGAAGAAGAATTTATGGTTCATACATAGCATAGGATCTACTATTCTGCATTATGAAAAGAATTTTCCAAAGTGATTTACCAATTTACCATCCCATGTCAGTATGGGAGAGTTTCAGTTATTCCACTGGATTTGGATTCTTGAGGATGCTTTCATTTTGTCCTCCTCATAGCATAAGGATACATTCGTGAAAAATGCTGACTCTACTCCCCTCACAAAATTTTCATGTCCATGGGGTATTCTTTATACCCTCAATGGGATATAATGATAAAAGCTCCTTAAAAATAAAATAATTATTGATTGAATGAGTCCAGTGCTTTATTACTACTTTCTCATAATAGGCTTAGCTGGTGCATCTCAGATCTGAACTTAGACACCGTATTTTTCTTTGTTTGCTCTGTATTCCTCTCACCCAGTTGTTGAGGTTTGGTTACCTTCTACTACATTCTCCCTACCCAGAGCTCCAGAAAGAGTGCTGTGTGTGGATAGAATGGTAGGATGTTTTGGTGTTAGGCATGCTCATGCAGACTGGCATGCCATGAGGACATTTAAGTGACTAAACCAAAAAAGCTAGCCTTCCGTGTGAGAGTACACACTGTAGCCCTGGAGCAGGAAATGGGCTGTTTGAAGACAGCAAATAGTCATCTTAATTTTCTTTTTTCTATTTCTAGTGTCAGGTATTTCTGTTGGCTCTTTCTTCCAGGGAAAAAGAAATAGAGGTTCTAGTGTGCAAAGATTATTACAGGAACACAGAACATGTTGAAGGCTAATCCTCCTCTTTGCCATTTGTTCCTATTACACAAGTTACACCAGAGATAGGAATTTGAGGCAGATGAGAAATTTTCATTCCTTATCAGTGTTAAACGGTCTTGTCATGAAATTTGGGGCTCATGGAATCTTATGGCTTGCATATTGTTAAAGAGTAGGTATATTTAATAATAAATGCCTGTTGATTTATGGATGACTCTTCAGCAGTCTTTACTAGTGTCTACTGAAAGACTGAGTAAATTTCTGTTTAGTTAGGTTTTCCCCACAGGTTGGCCACATGGTATAACAAATGTTTAAGCCAGAAGACCTGGGTTAAAAGCAAAACTGATATACAGCCAATTTTTAAAATACTGAAATATATTTTAATTGATTATTGGATATAAAATATTTGTTGGCAAATAGCGACTGGGCTAAGCATTAAATTCAATTAATAATATAAGATAAAACAAACTCATTAGTTTAATAAGCTCATCGCCGAAGACTTTACAATGACTATTGGTCCATGCGCCTTCAGTATTAGCATAACTTAGTTGATAATAGAGATTTGTGTCTCAGCAGACACCAAGAGAGAATGAATAATCTTTATATTTAAAGAAACTTTCTACTATTTGGGATCATAAGTGTCCTACAAGTGGCATTGCATGGAAGCTGCAACGTAGTATTAGTGTGATTGATGCAGACCACTGACTAAGGCATGAAGGCCACAGTGCTGTTGGCTCACTGCCCTAAAACATCTGAATTTTGGCAAAGCAGGTGGTGAGGCAAGTGGTGTTCGTGGCATTTGCAGTAATGACAATGTCGAAGGTGGCATTGTTAGTGGGGCCTGTAGTAGAGGCTAAGCAGGTCTACATGGGAAATGCGGACTTGTAGGTGTGTATACACAGTCCTGAATTGTGCACAGTGTGCTTAGCTATCTTCCGGCTACAACAGTGCACCAGGAGCTGGAACCTAATGATTGTCAATCCCATGGAAAAGCCATTGGAAGAATTTGACACAGTTTCTTATGTCCAAATCATGGGTCAGAAGTATCATTTAGCTGGTGACATCCACATCAAAAATCATCAACAATTTCTGAAAATCATTTCTACAAATCGCCAAATGATTTTGATATTATTAGAATATTTTGATGAATGATTTGAAGTTTTTAATTTTAATTTAGAAAGTTTTTAATTTTAATTTAGAAAAACATATTTAGGCCAGGTGTGGTGACTCACACCTGTAATCCTAGCACTCTGGAAGGCTGAGGCCGGAGGATTGCTCGAGGTCAGGAGTTCGAAACCAGCCTGAGAAAGAGTGAGATCCCGTCTCTACTATAAATAGAAAGAAATTAATTGGGCAACTAATAATATATAGAAAAATTAGCCAGGGCATGGTGGCGCATGCCTGTAGTCCAGCTACTTGGGAGGCTGAGGCAGCAGGATTGCTTGAGCCAGGAGTTTGAGGTTGCTGTGAGCTAGGCTGATCATGGCACTCATCCTAGCCTGGGCAACAAAGCGCAGAACTCTGTCAAGAAAGAAGAAAGAAAGAAAGAAGAAGAAAAAGAAAGAAAGAAGAAGAGAAGAGAAAGAAAAGGAGACGAAGAAGAGAAAGAAGAGAGGAAGAAGAGAGAGAGAAGAGAAGGAGAGGAAGGAGGAGGAAAAGGAAGAAGGAAGGAAGAGAAGAAGGAGGAAAGAGGAAGCAAGGGAGAAGGAAAAGAAGGAAGACAAGAAGGAGAAGGAAGGAGAAGGAAAGAAAGAGAAGAAGAGAGAGAGAGAGAAAGAGAGAGACGAGGAGCAAGAAGGAAGCGAAGGAGAAGGAAGGAAGGAAGGAAGGAAGGAAGGAAAGAAGAAGGGAAGAAGGGAAGAAAGGAAGAAAGGAAAGAAGGAAGAAAGGAAGGAAGGAAGGGAGGAAAAGAGAGAGAAAGAAGAAGAAAGAAAGAAAGAAAGAACAGAAAGAAGAAGAGGAGAGAGATGGAGAAGAAAAGAAAGAAAGAAGAAGGAGGAAGGGGAGAGGAAGAGGGGAAGGAGGGAAGGAGGGAAGGAAGGAAGGAGGGAAGGAGGGAAGGAGGGAAGGAAGGAAGGAAGAAAGGAAGGAAGGAAGAAAGGAAGAAAGAAAGAAAAACGTATTTAGCTTACCTATTTTGAGTAACAACCCTCATCATTATCCTGGCATAGTCAGCAGTTATGTGACACTGAGCGAGTTGTTATTTGTCTCTATGTACTTCCTTAATCTTTTCACCTGTAGTAAGGTGAAGTTGAATTAGATAATCTGTGAGATGCTTTCTGCTGCAAAATTGCTGTGATTTTATGGTGTGGGAGCTTTATTGCTCATACCGGAAAATTTGATAGGCTTAGAAGCATAGCGTGGCTGTTCTTTGTAAGAAAGGCCACTTGTCCCCAACTCCCTCACTTCCCAGGCTCAGGGATCTGAAGTCAAAACTTCAGGAGAAGTTTCGCCTTTGGAGCTAAACACATAGGGATAGCTGATAATTTTTTTTTTTTTTTTTTTAATTTAAGACCTAAAACTCTACCTTGTGGCAGGTGAGTCCAGAAACCCTTCCCCAGTCTAACCCAGGAGCTTTATAGCACTAGAAGCTATTCTGCCCCAGGGCATTTTTTTCTTTAGAAGTGGGGCCAAGAAGAGGCATTTCAGACAGGAGAAAGAGCACGTG